AGAGGTTCTACGACATGCTGGATGCTCTTTATAGCCACAGGCCGGTAAACTGAGGCAGGCCTGAGCTCAGCGATTGCCCTCTGGAGTCACTTGTTGGTAAGCATTTGTTTTGTGACTTTAGCTCTGCAGACTATGCATTGTTGCAAAACCATACTGAATAGTTGCAGAACTTTTTTATGAAAATGTGCATGAGGGTTTGTTTGACCCAGCCTCCTGACAGAGCTCAAACTGCGATGGAAACGCTCCCCTGAAATCGCAAACCAATACTGGTCCACAATGACCCGCCCGGCCCAGTCCCAAACCGTGCATTGATCCGAGGCGTAAGATATGTGGATAATTAAAAAGAAAAACAAAAGACTAGGATAAAAACAAAGTAAACTAAATTAAAAACTCTAACAAATAGCCAGTGCCATGAACCCGAATGCTGAAAGGCTAACAAATAAAAGTGAGTCTTAAAGTGAAACTTAAAGACTTGAAGAGATGGTGCCTGTGCCACCATCGCTGGCACAGAAGTTAAGAACTCACTCCGTAATCAGAAGGTTGCAGGTTCGAGCCCCACTCAGTCTGTCACTGTCGTTGTGTCCTTGGGCAAGACACTTAACCCACCTTGCCTGCTGATTGTGGTTGGAGGGACCTGTGGCAACTGTTGACAGGCTTGCCTCTGTCAGTGCTCCCTAGGGCAGCTGTGGTTACAATGTAGCTCATCACCACCAGGGTGTGAATGGCTGAATGACTGATTTTGTTGTAAAGCACCTTGGGGGGGGGGGGGGGGGGGGGGGGTTCCAGGATTCTAGAAAGTGCTATATCAAATACAGGCCATTTACCTTTTGCTCAATGCCAAATGGCATCTCATTCCACCCAAGAATGCATGGTGGCACAATTGTTAGTACTGTTGCCTCGCATCAAGAAGGTTGCAGGTTCGAAACCCAGCTACAGCCTTTTTGCGTGGCGTTGCGTGTTCTCCCCATGCACGCATGGGTTTCCTCCAGGTACTCCGGTTTCCCCCACAGATCACAACATGCCCTATAGGATAACAAAAACAATTGTACTTTGCTTTGGATAAAAGCGTCTGCCAAGAATGTTCAATCAGCCATTGTAGATAAAAAACAACAGGGCCTCACAACCATGTTGACTTGCGTGTCAAACTTGAGGGCTGAATCAATTTGCATCCCCAAATTGTTGAATACCTTATTTTCATATGAGGCCAAAGAGTTAAAGTCAACATCATAACCTGAACCATCTATTCTATCAGAGCTGAGTATTATGACTTCAGTTTTGCTCTGAAGCCTCCGGAAATGGTCTGTTTTTCTGTCTACAGGTCGACTTCTTCAGTATTGGGTCAAATGGAGACATAAGTCTTAACTGGGGCTTTAATCTGCAACGATACTGTGCTTGCCCACGGTCCCTCCAAGCTCCCTCTTATCTTTTTTTCTTTCTTTCTTTCTCTTTTTTATTTAATTCAAAATAAAAAGTAATAAAACATATAAACAATAAGAACTACATAACACAAAATCAAATTTGAACGAAAAGGAGCAAAATGAAGAAAAAATTCTTATGATTTCTGCCCCCTTTTCCAGAAGAAATAATCAGTTTATATACAATTCCCATTTGTCAGACACAGATACAGATTCATTTAAAACTTTTCCCTGTTCTAAATTCCAGTGCAATCATGATCATCGATTTAATTTAAATTTTCATAATAATTTAGTACACTCAATTTGGTACATTTTTGAATATATTAAATGACAGTTTTTTTGTATTTCTCTTTTAATGTTATTCCATAATTTAACACCATTTACAGATATATTCCATTCCTTCATTTTAGTTCTAAATCTAGGTTTTGTAAACACATCAGTTTCTTTCAGCATGTAATTACTAGTTCTCTTTTCAAATATCCCCTGCATGTTTGTTGGCAGAGTACCTAAATTGGCTTTGTACATGGTTTGTAAGATTTTCCAGTCTTTTAAATCATGAAATTTCTGTAATTTATATTTGATAAACAATGGGTTCCATGGATCTCTACAGCCTCTATAATTGATGGTTCTCAGAGCTATTTTCTGTAAAATAAATAAGGGTTGTGTATAGTTTATGTATGTTGCTCCCCAGATTTCTACACAATAAGTCAAGTATGGAACAATCAATGAACTGTACAATGCCAACAAACCAGAATTAATCAGTAAAAACTTGACTCTATGCAATACTTCTAAGGATTTGGCAATTTTACCTTTTTTGTGACTAATATGTGATTTCCATGTCAAGCCTTCATCAATAAGAACTCCAAGAAATTTAGTTTATTTTACTCTTTGAATTGCAATCCCATCTATTTCCAATGACACGTCACTGTTCTGTTTATCATTAAACAATATAAAATTTGTTTTTTATTAAGATTCAGTGTCAATCTATTTATATCAAACCAGTTTTTAATTTTAATCAGTTCATCATTTATCACTTTAGCCACCTCCTCAATATTTGATCCTGAGTAAAACAGTGCTGTATCATCTGCAAATAGAATGGTACTGAGTGTCTTAGATACATTTACCAAGTTGTTAATAAACAAAATGAACAGTTTTTTTTTCAGAGGACCGACGCTTGTGTTACTCAACAATTAATTTCACATAGTTTTGATTTATGGTCATTTATCTGAACAGACTGTTTCATTTTTTTCTAAATAAGTTTTAACCCATTGATGAGCCTCACCTCTTATTCCATACCGACTTAATTTTCGAAGTAACCTTGAGTGATCAATGATGTCAAATGCTTTTTTCAAATCAATGAAAACACTGAGTCATTTTTATTGTCAATTGCTGTTGATATTTTATCCCTTAATTCCATTATTGCCATTACTGTGAAATATTTAGTTCTAAACCCATATTGTTCATTGTTTAAAATATAATTTTTTTCGATGAATTTATCCAACCTTGATACAAATACTTTTTCCAATATTTTAGAAAACTGTGGAAACAGTGACACCGGCCTGTAATTATTTAAACTATGTTTATCACCACTCTTGTACAATGGAATGACTTTCGCTGTTTTCATTGCGGAGGAAACTCATTTCGGCCGCTTGTATCCGCGATCTCATTCTTTCGGTCATTACCCAAAGCTCAAGACCATAGGTGAGGATTGGGACGTAGATCGACCGGTAAATCGAGAGCCTGGCTTTCTGGCTCAGCTCCCTCTTCACCACGACAGATCGGCTCAGCGTCCGCATCACTGCAAACGCCAAACCAATCCGCCTGTCGATCTCCCGATCCCTCCTACTCTCACTAGTGAACAAGACCCCGAGATACTTAAACTCCTCCACTTGAGATAGGACCTCTCTCCCGACCCGCAGTTGGCAAGCCACCCTTTTCCGGTCGAGAACCATGGTCTCAGATTTGGAGGTGCTGATCCTCATCCCAGCCGCTTCACACTCAGCCACGAACCTACCCAGCAAGAGCTGAAGGTCAGAGCTGGATGAAGCTAGGAGGACCGCATCATCTGCAAAAAGCAGAGACGAGATTCTCCTGCCACCAAACTCGACACACTCCACACCACGGCTGCGTCTAGAAATTCTGTCCATAAAGGTAATGAACAGAACCGGTGACAAAGGGCAGCCCTGGCGCAGTCCAACATTCACCGGGAACAGGTCCGACTTACTACCGGCTATGCAGACCAAACTCACACTCCTCTGGTAAAGGAACTGAATGGCCCTTAACAGAAACCCACCCACCCCATACTCCTGGAGCGTCCCCCACAGGGTGCCCCTGGGGACGCGGTCATAAGCCTTCTCCAAATCCACAAAACACATGTGGATTGGTTGGGCAAACTCCCATGCCCCCTCCATCACCCTTGCATGGGTATAGAGCTGGTCCACAGTTCCACGGCCTGGACGAAAACCACATTGCTCCTCAATCTGAGATTCGACTATCGATCGGACCCTCCTCTCCAGTACCTTGGAGTAGACCTTTCCAGGGAGGCTGAGGAGTGTGATTCCCCTATAGTTGGAACACACCCTCAGGTCACCCTTCCTAAAGATGGGGACCAACACCCCAGTCTGCCACTCCACAGTGTGTATGTGTGTGTGTGGGTGTGGGTGGGGGGCACTGCTGTGTCTTATTTTAAAATCACTCAAAGCACTCGATCCTTTCTTATGAGGTCACAATTAGAGTTTGCTTCAGAATTTTAAAAAAGTTAACACAAAGTTCTGTTAATATTCCTGGACAGGCAGTGCCTGCTCCACAGCAGTTAGACACACGGGAGAACATTTAGTGAACTGTTGGGTTTATCTTGGTGTCATCGGGTGAGTCTCGAGGTGTTTGATTCTCTCTGCAGCAGCAGAGCTGTGATGAACTCTAAAATCTGACTCCAAAAAGACCTGTTTTCTTTTAAAACAATGAACACAAAAGCAAGACTGCAGAGAATACCTTATCGTCGTGTTCTTTATTTATTCAAAGGTATTTGAAGAAATTAAGAATGCAGTAAGAAGAATTCCTGTGCATTAGGCTATCTAGGTCTATTCTTTTCCTTCCCACCTATTTCCTGTTTTGTTTTTCATCTTGATGCCATAAAAAGACTCCTACCCAGCTTTTAAATGCTCTCATATGCAAACCCTTTTCAGTTTTTCTCCTGCTCCCCCACACATCCTCGTCTGACAGCTTGCTTCTTCACTCTGCTTTCATTCCTGTATGTTTTTTTGTTTCCTCTCATGGTACATCTTTGTTGTGCTGCTTCTCTCCTTTTGTTTCTTCTCTGCATTTACATTCGTCTCTTCTTCAACAATATGCATTTGTTCCAGACTGTTCTTTTGTTCATCACTTCACTACATTACATTTCCACTCGCCACTGACATCCGCCTCCAGTGCATTAGAGCTTCATTACATTTACATTGTTTTTATTGTGGTAGTAACTGGAGGATGCTCAGTAGAGAAAATGTTGCACTTTGATTTGTTTACACTTGAACTAATTTCCCCTTGTTGGTCTCAGTTTGATCATTCAGAGTGCCATTTCTCTCTTTGCAGTATTGCCAGTGGCTTTGGTGGAGCTCTATTTGTCTACCTGAACCGGTTGATTGTCCAGTTTATGAGAAAACAGAAGACCATAAACAAATTCCTCATGAAGAAGTAAGTACTTGTATACACCTACATCTGCTGAGCCACAGCTATATGCTGCACACCCAAGGACATGTGTTTAGAGAATACCACACATATTAATTACCAAAAGGTATTCTGCCTCAGTTTTTCTGATGTTGGTTTAAATAAACTCCAGAATACTTTGAAGAGTAGTCAGATGCATTGCAATTAAAGAAGCTCCCCTTTTTACTGAAGAAATTAACTTCAAGAGGCAATGTGTATTTTTTACCATTAATCTCTGGAAATGTTCATCGAAATGTTGTTAAAAATTAATTAAATGATGCCCAGTTGTTCAAAAAAACCTTGGCAGCTTCGTAACGTAACCAAAAAAATTGGGTCTAAAATTAGGGAGGAGCCAGATACTCGTTTCAGACAAGTATCCGGTATGGATAAGGCATTTTTGGCGAATTCGAGCATGAAACAAGTAAAACTCATAAATATCTGTAATTGTGCTGAAGGAAAATACTCGTTGGGTAACTGACTGTCTTCACGCTCTGTGATTGGCCAATCACACAAAGTGCCCGCCCCTCCCTACACACAAAACTCTGCAGCCGGGAGCTCAGTCCGTCCTGCCCATCCACACACGTGCACACACACACACACACACACACACACACGCGCGCGCACGCACACACACGCACACACACAGTAACGGATCTCTCTGTGCTTGCTTCACTGTTGCTCACGTTTCTTCAGTACTCCTTAGGTTTTCTTCAGCTCGCCTCTTTTTCAGTTTAATATTTAAAGTTACTTGTAAGGGTTTAATTTACATCTATTTAATGAACCATAAGACATAAGATTCCATTGAAATCAATCTTATGGATCTTTGGGTACTTTTAACCAGAAAATTGGAACTTTTTATTGCAGGGATTATGTAACACTTCATATCAACTCAGAGACAAGAGAAGAGAGAGAGTCTTTAAAACGTTTAAGAAGATTTATTTCTAAACAATTTTAAACAAGACTAACTCTAAACTCTAAGTGAATGGATGGATCTTGGTGTAAATGAGACGTGAGATGAATGGTGTATGTGTGAGTGAGGTTGTCATCAGAACTCTCGTATCCGGAGAAGCAAGTCTGAGTGATGAAGTGGTGTTTTGCTCTAAAGCTATGATCAGAGTTTCATAAACATGTAAGACACCATTTTGTCGCTCCACACATACCCTTCAGGATGAGACTGCCGTACAGATCCAGAATGCCAGGTCCTCGGACCCCCCTTTCAGTACCGGAGCCGATGAAACAGCATCAGCAGTACGAAAGACTAGTTTTTGGATTGTCTCCCGGTAAAAAGCGACAGTTGGTTGACAGCGTCAGATGGACCCGGAGGGTCAATGAGTTCAGCTTTTATTCTTGTTGGTTCTTTGCTTAAAAAGGAAGTCCAGGTGGCCGGTCCGATACGTCTCTTTGAACGCGGTGAACTGGCTTAAGATGGTGTGGGGACTGGTTTTATTAATCTGGATGTTTTTGATTTACGGTCGAATCAAAGTTGGACAGATTTATAAACACCACAGAGGCTATGCCACGCTTCAGAGAGGAAGGTTCCGATTGGATGAGTAAAAGCAATGTGTCATGCGTTTACATTACGTGTGATTGGATATCTAGTGCAGCTAGATTAAAGTCATATTATTTATTAAAACGTACTAACCATAACAATGTAATTTCACAGACTGGTCACATTATTATTGGACTACCACTTTGTTTGATTAGCTTTATTAAAAATAGAAAGTTCTTTGATTTATTAAAAAGAAAGAATCCTTTGTCTTCATTCTTCTCTTGGGCTGGAAAGGAAGCAGTTTAGAAGCAAATGCATGAGACCTTGGGGCAGTCTCATGCAGATTAGTTCTGTGTCAGAGACATCTGAGGAGAGAGGGTAAATAACCTTCAGTGGAATAGCTCCATCATCACGTTACATAAATTTTTCGTAACGTATGTGGTGCATTTGACAAGACAGAGCTGAAAACGGCTCCGCGCCGGTCAGTCCCCCCCATCCCCCACCTCATGCACTTAAAAATTAATGTTGTGATTTTATTGAAAAACTTGTTCTGTAATAGTTCCTTTACTATTGTGATCACAAATATTTAATCTCAATTCTGAGGCTGCTCTGTAAATAGTTTTCAAATAAACAATACACATAGCAACTTCTGATCAATCCATATCAATATCAGACATAAAATAATGCATTGATGTAAACCACACCCACTTCCAGTTAAACTACACCCACTTCTGGGTTAGGCCACGCCCACTCCGAGTACAGATACAGATAATTAAGATGGTTGAACAGATACAAATGCAGGTGTACTCACTCATCTCTATCTAAAATACATGGGAGACGGTCTAAGTCTCTGGGTGACGCCATATTACATGCCATGTTTCCTTCTATGGGAGCCCTTAAGGACAAGATGCATTTACTGATTTGTAACAAACGGTTACCAAACTTTCGACTCATTTATTGTTTTACACATTTACCTCTTCACTCGTTGCCAGTGATGAAAGGGAGTCTGATGTGCTTCTTGTCATTTGCTGGAGGTTGCACTCCCAGGGATTTTTGACCCTAATGGCCATCTGTTGGTATGGTCTTACCTAAACACTAAAGTACTGCTTGTTTACAATGATTTAGGTATGTACTGCCCATATCGCCAGGGAAAATACACACTGTCAGAAGTCCCTCAAAATTGTTTGTACTGTATTTTAGAAAACAAGAGCTGCTGAAATCCTCTCTATGAACCACTTAATAACATGTAGGAAGTTTTTATTAGGGAGCAACTGAAGTTAGAACAGCAGAATGTGCACAAACACTGCTTCAAATGTTAAGTAGAAGAATTGAAGTTGCTCGAAGTCATTCAGCAGCTCCAGGACCTTCAGAAGTGGATCCAGCTGTCTCAGGAATGGTAGCTGACAGGTTTGAGTTCATCTGCAGCAGAGTGAAAAATGAAATGTCATCAAGAAGCCAATTCTCGCCAAGAAAACCATGAGAGACATTTGGAAAAGGTACAGACATTGGACCGATAAGGACTGGAGGAAAGTCAGTTTCACTGATCTGGGAAAAGGATAATCTGGAGTCCACTCCCTTGGTTGAAAAGCCATTTAGTCAGTTTAGTTTGGGAGCAGCCATGAACAAAGAATGGTACCTAAACATCCTCCTAGAGGAACTCCTCTGGTTGTTAACCATGATGGAGCACTGGGCCAGAAGGATAAAATCAGACCTGGGGAACAAAACATTAATATGTTGGGTCCAGCTCCAGGAAACTCTGCAGACCTTAATCCCACTGAGAACTTGTTGTTAGTCCTCAAAAGACAGAAGGACAAACAAAACCCATAAATTCTGCCACATCCAAGGATCGATAGTGAGAAGGAGCCCCATTAGTCAGCATCTGGACCAGACGTTTACTGACATCAGACTCTTTAGGTCAACTTGATTGAACTGTCAATAAAATATTTTAAACTTATGAAATGTGTATGGTTATAGTTTCAGTAACCATAGAAACATCTGACTGAAAGATCTAGAAATACTGAAGCAGCAAACATTTTGTCAATAATCCATTGTTTCATTCTCTAAACATTTGGCCACTTTTGCATTTAAAAAAATAGTTTTTTTTAAATGTGCAAGTTTACTTGGAGCTAGAATGATTTGTGCCTTGTAGCAGCGCTTTCTCTTAATGTAGTCCCAAATCTAAATCAGCTTCTGTATTTCGTGGTGGTTTTTTTTCTCAATCAATATGATTATCATTACGGATTCACTTGCATTGTTTTTGCTAAGCTAAAGCTAACCAAATACTGCCATATTAGGAGAATGAATAGGCTTGTCAAACGCTGGAGAATATTCCCTTGCACTAAAACATCCTGCAATCATTTAATGAGCGAACACTACTTTGACACTTCAGCCAAAAAAGGTAGAAAAACACTAATTAGTGTTTGTGAGCTGCTCTTTTTGATTTTAACTTCTTCAAACAAACAAAACAAAGTATTTTCTTATACACTCACTGGCCACTTTATTGAGTACACCTGTTCAACTGCTCGTTAACACAAATTACTTTTCAGCCAATCACATGATGACATGCTCGAGACAATCTGCCACAGTTCAACCCGAGCTTCAGAATGGGGAAGAAAGGTGGTTTCAGTGACTTTGAACGTGGCATGGTTGTTGGTGCCAGACGGACTGGTCTGAGTATTTCAGAAACTGCTGATCTTCTAGGATTGTCACACACAACCACCTCTAGGGTTTCCAGAGAATGGTCCAAAAAAGGGAAAACATCCACTGAGCTGCAGTTCTGTGGGCGAAAGTGCCTTGTTGATGACAGAGGTCAGAGGAGGATGGCCAGACTAGTTTGAGCTGATAGAAAGGCAACAGTTACTCAAATAACCACTCGTTACAACCAAGGTATGCAGACGAGCGTCTCTGAAAGAACAACACGTCGAACCTTGAGGCAGATGGGCTACAGCAGCAGAAGAACACACCATGTGCCACTCCTGTCAGCTAAGAACAGGAAACTGAGGCTACAATTCACACAAGCTCACCTAAATTGGACAATAGAAAATTTGAAAAATGTTGCCTGGTCTGATGAGTCTCGATTTCTGCTGCAACATCCGGATGGTCGGGTTAGAATTTGGTGTCAACAACATGAACGCATGGATTCATCCTGCCTTGTATCAATGGTTCAGCATGATGGTGGTGGTGGGATGGTGTGGGGGAAATTTTCTTGACACACTTTGGGCCCCTTAGCACTAATTGATCATGGTTGCAACACCACAGCCCACCTGAGTATTGTTGCTGACCTAGTCCATCCCTTTAAGACCACAGGGTACCCATCTTCTGATGGCTACTTCAGCAGGATAATGCTCCATGTCATAAAGCTGGAATCATCTCAGACTGGTTTCTTGAACATGATAATGAGTTAACTGTACTCAGATGGCCTCCGCAGTCACCAGATCTCAATCCAATAGAGCACATTTAGGATGTGGTGGAACGGGAGATTCCCATCATGGATGTAGAGCCAACAAATCTGCAGCAACTGTGTAGTGCTATGACATCAAAATGAACCAAATCTCTGAGGAATGTTTCCAGTACCTTGTTGAATCCATGCCACAAAGGATTAAGGCAGTTCTGATGGCGAAAGGGGGTCCAACGCCGTACTAGCAAGGTGTACCCAATAAAGTGGCCAGTGAGTGTCTATTAGAGGGATTTAGTTAGCAAATGTGAGTTAATGTTCCCCCACTGCATTTTAAATGTCTGCCTCAGTAGAAAAACACGTTCTCTATATGAGTTTATTTGTTTTGGGGCAACTCTTAATGAAATTCCCTCTGTTTTAGTATCATTACTGCTGATTCGTGGTTAAAGGAAATGATGAGCTCTGTAGCAGAAAATTCCCTGTTGCTGTTTGGTTTTTGTGAATCTCTTCCTCTTTCATCCATCAGGCGTCTCCTGTACCCAGCTCTGGTCACGTTACTCATTTCAACATTAACATTCCCCCCTGGGTTTGGACAGTTCATGGCTGGAAAGGTAAGTTTCTCTGTTTCTGTGTGTTTTGTTGCTTTTTCTTCATTTACCTTCCAGTTAAATTAACCCTCTGGAGGCAGGCGTTGCAGATTTGCAACAGTTAAAACCTACCTACCTGGTTACTCCACATAAGTATTTCATGAGCATTTTTTAACTAAGAAGTACCCCTGAAGGACTTAGTTGTTCATCCTTTTATCAAAACTAATTTTGAGCCTGAGAGGGTTAAGTGTTCTTGCTCACGGAATAAAATAAACATTTATTTTGCTGAAACAAAGCCCTGGGTCATTAGTTACAGGTTGAGCTGTGCTGGTGAATGTTCGAGTCGTCTGTTTATTGGAGACATGGCGGAGCATGTTGTCTTTAGGCTCCTCTGATGAGTTATCAGTTTGTTCATGTGTGATTTATTTCCAATTTGATCCCCTTTATTCAGCTAATTATCTGAATTATTGAAGGAGTGGTCTGTCCATCTGTCACACACACACACACACACACACACACACACACACACACACACACACACACACACACACTACTTAGCCTTGGCTCCTAATGAGAAGGTAATGCAGGACTTTGGAGCTCCGCCCATGTGAGCTAGCTCTCCCTCTCAGTGCACACACTCTAGTTTAGAACTTTTTTCACAACACACACACACACACGCACGCACACACACACACACACACACACACACACACACACACACACACAGTTTGATTGAGGGATTTTGATCCAGTCATTGAGAACACCAGGCTGGGTTTTAAGACTAAAGACTCAACTACACATCTGTAAATCTACAGGAACACCTTGGTAAGCCGGAGCTTATTGAAACCTCTGCTGACACTTTAACTCTGCTTTTAAAAGTGTGAAGACATTATAGATGATTTTTTTTCTTCACAACATATAAAATATCCAACACAGTGGCAGCTTAGATTTAAAATAAATGAAGCATCATTGTGTTGTATACTAACAACAGTTAAGCATTCACCACAGTGACCATTTGGTAAGGGTGTTGTTTAACAAAAGTCCATTCTCAAACTCTTTTACCCACTAGTTATAGTTTTTATTTTCAAAGGAAGGCCAATCTTGATAACTTGTTTATCAGTTACACATTGACGGCTTAGCCCTCATTTACACTGAGTGCAAAACCGATGTGGTCCAGAATCAATTCGTCTTCTGCAAATACGTACCTAAAAGCCTTCAGTCCAATCAGAACATTTACATCGGCTGTTGTGTGGATCTAGATGTGAAGCTCTAGAAAGTTTCACTGCAGAGTTCATTTTTTCTGGATCCCATCTGCAGATTCTCACGAAGAAACAGACAGGAAGTGAGACTTGTTTCAGCGAGGCACATCTGGTATATTTCAAAATAAACCTGTGTTGCATTTTGGGGGGATTTCTTTTTAATTGTTTTAATAAGGACAGCGATATCAGTTCACAGTGTATTATGGCTCACATTAGTATATATTTAAACATACTGTCAAATGTCTCCTCCCTGGGCTGCCACCTTACCATGGTGGAGGGGTTTGAGGTGTCTCAGTGATCCTAGGAGCTAAGTTGTCTGAGGCTTTATACCTCTGGTGGGGTTACCCATGGCAAACAGGTCCTAGGTGAGGGATCAGACAAAGTGCAGCCCAAAGGCCCCTTATGAAAGCAAACATCAATGGAAGCAGTGTTCCCTCGCCCAGACGCAGGTCACCAGGGCCCCCCTCTGGAGCTAGGCCTGAAGGTGGCGCACGTTGGCCTGGCAGCTGGGCTTTCACCCCTGGAGCCCAGCCAGGCACAGCTCGAAGAGGAAACGTGGCTCCCCCTTCCCACGGGCTCACCACTTGTAGGAGGGGCCAAAGGGGTCGGGTGTATTGTATGATGGGTGGTAGCCGAAGGCAGAGACTTTGGCAGTCTGATCCTCGGCTACAGAAGCTGGCTCTCGGTATGTGGAATGTCACCTCTCTGGTGGGCAAGGAGCCTGAGTTGGTGTGTGAGGATATAGTCGGACTCACCTCGATGCATGGCTCTGGCTTTGGAACCAGTTTCCTTGAGAGGGGATAACACTCGATCACTCTGGAGTTGCTCGCACTGAGAGGCGCTGAGCAGGGGTGGGTATACGTGTTGCCCCCATCTTGGCGCCTGTAAATTCGGGTTTACCCTGCTGAACGAGAGAGTAGCCTCCCTCCGCCTAAGTGTGGGGGTCTGGGTCCTCACCGTTGTTTGTGCTTTTGCACCAAACTGCAGATCAGAGCTGGCCAAATGGCTGAGGAGAGGGAAGTCTGGGCCTCTGCTTAGACTACTGCCCCTGCGGCACAACCCCGAATAAGCGGACAAGAACCGATGTATGGATGGTGTCAAATTTCTAACATGAACTTATGTGAACCCTGGATATTTGGTTCTCACTGGAGAACATTTGTGAAGACATTCTGCACTTGATCTGCAGTCGGTGAAAGTTGGAAGCCTTACGGATGCCAGACTGCATCCATTTCACACTCAGTGTAAACGAGGGGTAATAGTAGCACACATGATTGTAGCTAGTGAGTGTCTGAGCTTCCCAGTACCCATCCCAGCTTAGTGTTTAAAAGCATCTGAACTTATTAAAAACACGTTTGTTTGAATTCCTCCTTTCAGAATCCAGATCACTCCCAACAAATTGTTTTTTTTTTAATTTTCAGTCTGAATGCTTGCTATCCAAAGAATTTTTCTCTTTGACCGCCACATCATACTAACCATCCTTACGTCCAGTCCCAACAGCTAGTTCTCTTGTATGAAGCAGAGTTGTGTTGAGCTGTTATGTGTAGTCAGTATCTTACTTGAAGCTGACAGTGATCAAAGGGATCATGCTATGGGGGATTCAGCTTCAGTGAGACCTTATTCCTGAATTTCTAAACAGAGATAACTCTGGGTGTTTCTCAGTGTCAAGGCGATGTCTTGCGAGGCCAGACGCTTTGCTTATGAGGACGCTGTCCTTCCTTGGTCAAAGGAAACGGCGAAAAGTTGCGAGGCCGGACGCTTTGCTTATGAAGACGCTGTCCTTCCTTGGTCAAAGGAAACAGTTAAAAGTAGCAGACTTGCATCGCGTGACCAAGGCTAGGCTACAAGGCACCTCCCATGCATTCTTGCTCAGCTAGCTAAACGGCTAACAAACAGAGAACACACATCTTGGTAGAACATGAACATTGGAACACGCCTTGATGGTTCCTGACGACATATCTCCTCGGCAACCGAGGCGGGACCAAGACATCAAGGCAATGCTCCTTGGCACTGAGAAACACCCTCTGATTTACTGTTTTCTCCTTGACCACACCTCACAGGTCTCCTCCTGAGAACGTTCATGTTTTTAGAAACAGGCTCAAGAATCATCTTTTTAGCTTAGCTTTCAACTGAATACTATCACTTTTTAAATTATTGAATTACTTAGGTTATTTATTTATTTAATGTATTCTTTCTTTAAATGTGCTTTTTAAGCAGTTTTGTACCATGATTTATGATCAACATTATTTTAATATCTATATAACTTTTTATATTACAATTCTCATTTGAGCTCTTTTGATTTTATATTTTAACCATAATTTAACCTTTTTCCAGTGCTTCCTCTGTGGGAGCCCTCTGCCCCGGCGGCGGTGGTCGGCTGTGGTGGTCTGGGTGCTTTACAGGTGTGCCTAGGTGGAGGTGGGGGTCTCAGCCCTCCCTGCCCTCGGCGCCCTGTGTCAGTGCCTCGGCTGCTGCTGTGGATCTGCTGCTGCCGGGGCGGATGGCTCCCCTGATGGTGTTTCCTTATCCCTTTTTTAGCTGCTCTGGCTCATCTGATCTCAGTCAATAGTGTTTTTTACCATGGGGAAGGGCGCGTGTGCGTGTGTGTGTGTGTGTGTGTGTGTGTGTGTGTGTGTGTGTGTGTGTGTGTGTGTGTGTGTGTGTGTGTGTGTGTGTGTGTGTGTGTGTGTGTGTGTGTGTGTGTGTGTGTCAGAGGAGGAGTGTTGTGAAGGGTTTTCATTGTCAGACTGTTTTTAAAATTCTGGGGATTGGAGGGTATGTGGGTATGGTGGGCGTTTTACATTTGTGAAGCACTTTGAGTTGCATTTATTGTAGGATAAAGTGCTATAATAATAAAAGTTGATTGATTAACTTGAGGAACCAGTGCTGCCCCCTGCTGCTGACATATGGTTCTAATTTCCTGTTTTCTGTAGCTGACCCAAAAGGATTCTCTGGTGACTTTACTGGACAACAGGACATGGGCCAGACAAGGGATCGCTGAGGACTTTGACTACATTGGACACTCTCAAGCCTGGAAACACCCACAAGTCAGCGTCTTCGTCACACTGGTCCTCTTCATCATCATGAAGGTAAGACCCAGACCAAGACTTGTTTGTTTTTTACAAAGTCATCATGAACATAACTCACTGGTGTTTGGGAGAGACGTCTCTTTCTCTTGCTGTTTATTTAGAGTTTTGGTCCTCTTTAACATCTTCTTCATAAATGGGAAAGAGTGACAGGCCCGAACCTCTATGGTCTTCATAACTCTCTTTCAGATAAAAAGCAGCTCTGGGCTGGTTGAAGACAAAGAGTCAAGTAGAAGTTGTTGGGTTTAAGGGACTCAGTGCACCTTTAGACAGTGTGGGTTTGTGAAGGTATCATGTGTGACGGTCAGATAACAGCAACACTGCACGCTGAATCTACATGAGCTGTAGACCAATCAGGATCTTATGTGACATGCATGTGATGTCACTGGAAGTTTCCAAGTACAGTCAGCCCCTCCTCAGATCCACTGACCAAGACCACCGTGTCAAAACGAGCCTGGACTTTTGCATCAAAACAGAGTGACACAATTCATAAAAAGAGGAGAAGCCGAGTGATTCAACCAAAAACTGCCTAAATGCTATGCAGTATGGGTGAGTGGGGTAATTTTAAAGTTTTAAGTCCCATTAGTCATCACACACTGGTGAAATTCATCTCCATATTTGACCCATCCCCAGGGGGAGCAGTGGGCTGTGGCTGTGCTCGGGTACTATTTGGTGGTTTAACCCCCCAATCCAACCCCTTACAGTGTCAAGCAGGGAGGCAATGGGTACCATTTTTAAAGGTGCAGCGTATAAGAATATAGTGAGAATTTTGCAGTGAAAAAATCTCAAAAGAGTCTAATGTTGGAAGGAAGGTTATCCTGAATCATTTTTCATATCCAGCTGACTGCTGGATTGTCAGTTTTTCTCCTTTCCAAACAAAGGAAGGAAGGACGTAACTACTGTTTACCATCAGTGAGTGTGGGGGTGTCGTGTCTCCTGTGAGCTAATACTGCAGCGCCAACAATTCTAATTTGACTACAGCTGGCCAAAAGCTCCAGAGTTGTTTAAAGTGGTTGCAGTAACCACATTCGACCACAGGATGTCATTTTTACTTCATTTCAATATAATGCTACCAGGATTTGAACCGTGACCCCCCAGTCCCAGGGCAGACACCCCAACTCTACCCCACTGAGAAGGTCAGGTTATTGAAGGTTATTGAACAATATTAGGAAAAACAACAGAGGTGACCAAGTCACTGCTTTGCAAGTCACTATTAAGTCACGAGTCAAGTCCAAGTCAAAGACAACCAAGTCCAAGTCAAGTCCAAAGTTAATGATTTGGAAGTCCAAGTCAAGTCCAATACCTTAACTTTGAATTTTCAAGTCATAATCAGGTCATCTGTCCAACTTCAATTTAATGACAATGATAATGAATAAATTCCAGAAATAAAGCTTCATTTATTTGCTCCAACAAGCAGAAAGTGCAACTGAAACTGATTATAAACAAAGTGCTGCTGCTTTTAGCAGAACAAGATCAAACCCAGAACCAAGAACGATTTATGATTTTTGTCCATGTCGGGTCACTTTTGTGCTTAAATATCAAATATGCTCAAGTCATCAGCAAGTCAACAGATGCAAGTCGATTCAAGTCATTGGCCTTCAAGTCCAAGTCAAGTCGTGAGTCATTATAGATTTTATCAAGTCAAGTCAGAAGTCACTAAAATAATGACTCAAGTCTGACTCGGGTCCCGGTCATGTGACTCAGTCCACACCTCTGAAAGACAACAGATTAAAAGGCAGATCTGAAGGTCCAGATGCAGAACATGGAGCAACTCAATCCAGACCCATCTTCAAAACAAAACAAAGCATTATTTAATTGTATAATATGAACAATAAATGGAGGAAGTAAAACTTTCACAACAGTTTTTTATTGCTTCAGATGTATTATGTTTTGCCCATTTTCTTCTCTGAGAACCTAAAGTAAACCTTGGGTTCTGTTGAGACCCCAGTAGAGCATGATTTGGTCCCTGTTGGTATTTCTTGCCGGTGTGCAGCTGTATGTGATAGCAACCCCTCTGCTAGGGTGCTGATGATTGCACGCGTTGATTTTCTCACAGCTAAGTCACAGCTGTTGACACGAAATGTTAGGAACGGAGGAACTTTGTAAACAGTTTGGGTTTGCATTTGCATTTTGATTTTATCTCCAGACAGAAAAGTAAAGTAATCAAATGAAAATTATTTATTGTATACGTTTATTGTCACATTCATCCTTGCAAGTATTTCAGCACCCCTTCTGAAAATCAAGCTCAGGCATCTTGGGAGGTTTCAGTCAGAACGAGTAAAATAGAGCCGAGTCTCCATCGGCCCGTCTGTGGAACTGTTGCTGTTCCTATTGTGATCAGTTTGGTTTTTAATTGCTTACTGCTGTTGGGAGGAAGCACACATCTCTGTTACACACACACACACACACACACACACACACGCACGCACGCATACACACAGGTTTTGTTGCTTTCCAGCCACACTTTCCCATCGCATGTCATGTACACAGCTCTGCTTTGCTGGTCTTACACTCACATTCCTGCAGGAAGCACGGGCGAAACGTTCCCTCGCTCTAACAACACCTGCTTGTCTGAAATTAACCTTGTGTCTCATCGTAAAGGACAGAACCTTGTTTAAAATGTACTGTTATGTTTATTTACTTTTCTGCTCACCTAGCATTTGATCTCATTTTAAAAACAGCTCATGACAAGTCACCTATTGTTCTGGTACAGTCAGTTACAGTCAGTCTTGCAACGAAAAGGTTGCAGGTTTGAATCCCAGCCTCAGTCTTTCTGCGTGATGTTTGGAAGTGGCTACTCCGGTGTCCTACCACAGACCACAAACATGAATGTTGGGTTAACTGGTGACTCTAAATTGTCCCTCAGAGTGAGTGGTGGCTTGTCTTTCGGTGTCCCTGTGATGGACTAGAGACCCGCTCGCAGTCGGGGAGCAAAAGATGAGATGTGTTTGCTAAATTAATAACATTACAGTTGGGAGTGAAGTAGCTTTTGCTAAGTTCATTTCATACAATTTCACATTACCAAACCAGTTCCATAAGTTTATTTTTTTCTTTATTGTTCTGCTTTTACACTTCTCCAGTTTTACAAACATTATTATTTCCAGTTTTACTACAGTGAGCAATGTAATTCTTTCTTTCTACCAGGAGTAGGACATGAGGTTTCCTATAAACACTCAGTCCAGGAGACACGGAGAAGTGCTGGATGTTCAGTTAGAGTTACAGCTCATCACAGCTGGTAAAGGGGAGTCAACAGACTTCCATGTAGGGTGGAATCAGCCTCAAGTGTGGTGTTGCATAATGGAGCGAGAGGTGGACCAGCAGATCTGGACATCATCTGCACCAATGCAGGAGCTGCACCAGCCTGCTGAGCCAATACTCTTTTACATCATCACCCTCACTAATGTTTGTGTGAGAGGAATACTTGATTAGAGCTGCTGACATCAGCTTCTGAGCTGCAGCCTCAGAGAGAAGGTGTAGAACTGCTGCAGCTCCTCCTCCTCGTCAGGAATCAGCCAAGGTAGCTCAGGAGGATGCCTCTTGGTCACCATCTTCTGGAGGCTCTCCTGACCTCTTCCATTTGAAGGAAGGCCCAGAGCCAGAGCTCATTGTTCTGTCTGGTCTGTGAACATCCTGGGATCCTCTAGAAGGAGCTGAAGTAGGTTTCCCTTCTGGAACTGTTACGTTTCTAAGAGCAGAACCCGGATAAGCAGAAGGAAGGATTGAGGGGAGCGGATCATATCAGTAAAACACAACTGATGTCTCAGGAAATGGTGAATAAAATATACAGTGAAACGGATATCCAACACTTCCTGAAGGTTCATGTGTCAAAGTTACATAAGCAGAGACTGATGTGATGGTAGAGCTGTAGCTGTCGGTGTTAGTCAGTATTACAAAACAAACGTCTCACTCAGCCTTTTGTCTCCTACCAGTCCCCTCAAGGAGGACAGTCAGCCACTGGTTCTGATTAGTCCACACAGTAAGGGAATGCCTTTCCTTTATAATAGAAATCCTCAGTTTGTGGTGGTCTGAAAATTCAATCATCTTTTCTGTCATTGAAGTGACAATGTTTAGGTTGGACTGATGCAAGTAGATGCAGCATTTCCTGTAGGTGACATATGGGTGCAGTACACTCACCCTACACACACACACACACACCTTGCTGACTTTAAAACCCCACCTGTGCAAACCTCGCTGAACCTTGTCAGCATCTATTTGCGGTCTGGCTCTGACTCACGTCCTCTCTCTGTCACACTCCACATTCAAAGTGAGGCTTTAATGGCTCCGTCTAATTACAGCCTTTGGTTCTTCTGGACTCAGCCGGCTGATTTTCTAAGGCGAGATTGCTCTCACTCCCGCTTCTTCTCCATAATGAATGCTTCCTTTATCCGACTTGACAGCCATTTTGTCTTGTTGCTTCTTCTCATGCAGAAACTTTGGAGTCGATGTAATTCCATGCACTTGATGCTGAAGGGAAAGATACGAAAGATACTGGTAAAGGGTCAGCAAGTTCATGTGGTGTGTTCTGATAGAGCATGCAGATGGGAGGCAAAGTGTGTGTGTGTGTGTGTGTGTGTGTGTGTGTGTGTGTGTGTGTGTGTGTGTGTGTGTGTGTGTGTGTGTGTGTGTGTGTGTGTGTGTGTGTGTGTGTGTGTGTGTGTGTGTGCAGTGGTGGTTCTACCTTTAGGTTGGCGGCCACCTGGAGCCCCCTTCTGTTGGGGGGCCCCCTAGCCCTGACTACTGGCACCCCTCTGTTAATGCCACAGTATTCCATGTATTGTGTTGAAGTGTGGAGAAACACCTACGAAACCCACTTAAAGCCTTTGTTTATGATTCGAAGGAGAGCAGTTTGACTTGTAAATAAAGCAGCTTGTAGAGAGCATACGCATTTACTTTTTATTCATTTAAAGGTATTAAAGTTAAGAGAATTAGTTACATTAAGAACTGCACAATTTATGTATAAAGTGTTGAATAATTTGATGCCAAAACTAATTCAGGATCTGTTC